GAATCTACGTTTTTAACAAGCAGTGTTTAAGAACTTTACCTTTAAGCTTTCCAGTCTTAGAAACAAGGCAACATACAAATATCCCTGGTCCTCCATGTCCTGTATTTCTCACTCCCTTTTTCCAGTAATCATTATTGAATCTTTATTTCTTACATACTTTTCTAGTGGGTCTCCATACTTTAATTATATGTCCTATCAGTAAAATATTTTTGAGCATATATTCTCAATATATTTTTGTTCGTTTATTTGTAAGTTATATACATGTACTACTATGGCAATATACTGTACAAATTATAAAGCAACGTAAAAGGTCTAAACAGTAAATAATATGTTTAATTCAAAAAAATTTATTTGTTTATTTGAGACAAGGTCTCGCTTTGTCACTCAGGCTGTAATGCAGTGGCATGATCATAGCTCACTGCAGCTTTGACCTGCTGGGCTCAAACGCTCCTCCCACCTCAGCCTTCCAAGTAGCTGGGACTACAAGTGTGTGTCCCAAGCCCAGCTAATGTTTATTTTTTGTAGAGATGAGGGTCTTGCCATGTTGCTCAGGCTGTTCTAGAACTCCTGGTCTCAAGCAGTCTGCCTGCTTTCGCCTCCCAAAGTGCCAGGGTTACTGCCATAAGCCACCACACCCCACCAAAAACTTTATTAATAGTATATTATTTAATGAATGTAGACAAATCCATATTTAAAATAGCCTTGATAATTTTGAATTTAGGGGGCTTTGTTAGATCTCATTAGATTGTTAGTGATTTTCTTTTTTTGCATTTAAATTTACGTTTACATTTTAAAATGTAGCTGTTGAAGGGCTCTTGTTAAAAAAGCAGATGATGTGTTTGCCCTGCCATTTTCTCCTTGTTAACGTGTGCTTTTATTACTAGTAATAACCTCAGTGCCTAGAGTTATTTTTAAACTTTTTCAGACAAATTGAGGATTAATTTAGTTAAAACAATATAATCTGTAATTCCATTTAACCCAGCACATTTGAACTGCACAGCTTTGTCACATGACAGCTGCAGAAGTAGGAGTAAGGGTGCCACTGTTAACCCTTTGACTGTATAACATTTTTTGTCTTACCTCAGGGTACCTTCTTCAGTCTGTGAGGGAGGCATTGTTAATCCAGAGAGTAAATAGTATTATAACTTAATAGTTTTATTTATCAGACAAGAAACAACATAAATAGAAGTTCTCATACTGTCAGTGTCCCCGTGGACCGTCTCGTACATCCTCCTTTGGTACAGCTTAGCCAGCCCACTGTTGCACATCACTTATATGACTCAGTCTCTTGCAAATAGTTTTCTTTATTAACGCTGTTGTGCGACTGTATTCTAACTAAGATCAGTAATTTCCATGTTGGCAAATTTAATTGACTTTTTTCACTTGGTTTTTACTATTTGGTAGTCTTTAACTGAGTTGGTCATTTCATGGTTTTTCTTCTGCTGCAAGTGGCTCAAGTGCTGACCCAGTTGCTCATATCCAAAAAAAAAAAAAAATGACTCATCTCTAATGTGTTTTTCTCCTTTTCCAAATATTCTTGACTTGATAGTATAGTCACCAAAACTTTATGATTTTACTTCCTAAGTTCGTTTCATACTCTACATAATGGCTAAAGTGATACTCTGAAAACAGATCAGATCATTTTACTCTTGCTTAAATCTCTTTAATGCCTTACCAATTATTGCAATGAAAAGAGACCAGGAAGATCTAGTTGTTTACTAGCCCAGCGTCATCCTTATGTTTACCTCTCTACTGTTTTCACCTTGGTTCTCTGGGTACTAAACACCCATCTCTGATCTTTCAAAATATGCTAAGCAATCCCCAGCTCTCTTTATGCTGTTCCTTCTGACAGGAATGGTCTTTTCCTTCCCTCTTTGTTAGCTTCTTCTCATCCTTCCTATGCTGTCACAAATATTTCTTCAAGAAAGTCCAGGTTCAAGGACCTTGTTGTAAAGTCTCATTTATGCTGTATATTTGCTTAATAATACTTACCATGCCTATGACTAAACTTTTAACTATTATATCGCCAGCACGTAGCAAATAAAGGATAAATAAATAGTTGAGTAAATGAACATTGTTTATCAGTATTTGCTTGTTTTTATATCCTTAGACTACCTGCTGTGTGAGGGTAATGCCCATGTCTATTTTGGTCTCCATTATTTTTCCAGTATCTAACACATTCACACACAGACAAATACTTTTGAGTTACTGTGGTGGGTCTGTCATGATTTGTTTAATACCTTTTCCTCATAGACATTTAATTGATCATGTCTGTCTTGCGCACCCTTTCCAGTGCTTAATACAGTACCTGACATGTAAGTATTTGGTAATGGTTTTTTGGGTTGTTATTCAACCTGTCTCTTTGCAATACGAATATTTAACCCGTTCACATTTACTCTAATTGCCAATATGTTTAGCTTATTTCTGATATCTTATTTTGTGTTGTCTATATCCTTGCTTTTTTTTTTCTTTTCTCCCTTTTTTGTTTTGTTTAGACCAAGTTTTTTTCTATAATAGGGTTTATCCCTTTAAGAGTTAAGAAGTTAAATGTAATCTTTTTAGTCTTTTAATTATTGACCTGGATTCTGTAATGCAAATTTTTAATTTTGTATTTTTCTACCAACCTCTTACCATAAGACAAAAACCTCTGTTCTGCTCCTTTCCTTGCTGCGTTCCTTATGAAAAAATTGAGATTTTGTTTTACAGTTGTGATTATTTATATCAATCGAAACTTACACCACTGCTTTTATTTTATATCCTCCTCCTGAGTATGTGTTGATTTTTAAAAATTTATGTAGGCTATATTATACTTCTTGGCTATAATAACTTTTCTAACAATTCTTTTAGGTAGGATTTGAGAGTGATATACTTTCTGTACTGTTACGTATCAGAAGATGTATTTACTTTGCCCATCTACATGCTTAGTTTGGGGATGAGTTTTGTGTTGCTAATTATTTCCCTCAGATTCTCAAAAAATTTGCTTCATTGTTTCTAAGGAAGTATCTGACATCAAATTATTTTTTCTTTATATGTAATTAATGTTTCTTCTTAAAGACTTAGGATTTTGTTTTTAGCCTTGCCGTCATAAAATGTCACCATTATATGCTTAGAATTTGTTTTTGTTTTGTTTTCCATATATTCTACCTCTTCAGCTATGAGAAATTTATTTCTGGGTTTTTTTGGTCTGTCTGTTTGTTTGTTTGTTTTTGAGACAGAGTGTCACCCAGTCACCCAGGTTGGTGTGCAATGGCATGATCTCGGCTCACTGCAACCTCCACCTACCAGATTCAAGTGATTCTCCTGCCTCAGCTTCCTGAGTAGCTGGGTTTACAGCCACGTGCCACCACATCCAACTAATTTTTTTTTTTTTTTTTTTTTTTTTGTATCTTTAGTACAGACAGGGTTTCACCATCTTGGCCAGGCTGGTCCAGAACTCCTGACCTCATGATCCACCCGCCTTGGTCTCCCAAAGTGCTGGAATTATAGGCGTGAGCCACCGCACCGGCCTCTGTTATTTTTTTGAGCATTTGCTCTTTTCCATTATTTTTATTGTCTTTCTGAAATTTCTGTTAACTGGATTTGAGAAGTTTTGGATTTATCCTTAATATCTATTTGTTCTTTTTATGCCTCATTCTCAGAAAATGTCTTTTCTTACTAATTGACTGAACACTAGCCATGTTTATTCTACTGCTTGACACCATCTATGCTCTCTTCTTTATTTTATATTATTTTATATTTTTTATTTATTTTTGAGACCACAGCTCCCAGGCTGGAGTGCAGTGGTGAAATCACAGCTCACTGTAGCCTTGACCTCCTGGGCTCAAGCGATCTTCCGACCTTACCCTTCTGCGTAGCGGGGACTATAGGCACACAATACTATGCCCACCTACTTAAAAAAAAAAATTTTTTTTAAGAGATAGGATCTTGCTGTATTGCCCAGGTTGGTCTAGAACTCTCGACTCAAGCAGGCACGCCAGCTTGGTCTTCCAAAGTGCCTGGCTGCTTCTTTAAATTTAATGTTTACATTTTTGTATCTGAGATCTATAGTTGAGTCTTCCTCTGAATACAGTATACTACTGAAACATCTTTTTTTTTTTCTTTTTTTTTTTTTCTGTATTTGCTGTCCTTGCTACAGGATTAGTTCTCCTGATACTGATTCTAATGCATCCCCTCCACAGTTGTTGTAGATCCATATGCATTTGAGAGATCCTGCCAGCTTATGTGTGAATACTGCATTTGCTTCTGACAACTGTGGGGAAAGGCAGTACCTGCTGAACAGTGGAATGTGCCAGAGACATCAATTCTGAGCGTGGCTACTCCCCTTTTCATTTGGTACTCTGAGCATGCACACTCACATCTCAAAAGCAGACCTCTTTGTTGATAAGGTGACAAGGAGGGAGAAGCCAAAATAATTAACTGTTCCTCCAGAGTCCAACCACCCTCCCTAATGCTTGCTCCGAGGACACTTCCTATTCTGTAGATCCTGTGGCTTCTCTGCCCTTGGGGATTATTCTGGAAACTTTTTTTACTTTTCATCACCACCATCTCTAGAGGGTATATTGCCATGGTTTCTTCCTTTAGTCCTTTCATATTTGCCTTTTCTCTTTCAGGAATTTTTCAAAATTCCCAATTCTTTTAAAAGCACACCTCTTTTGCTAATGTTGTACGTTACAGGGATTTAAAGTGGAAGGGGCCATTGGACGCATAGATCAGAGCAATGTATTGATTTATGCTTGTATTCAAGAATTCTGCATATCCTTGTTTATATCCTCAGTAGTATATACAAAGGTTAAAAAAATAGATAGTTCTTAGGCTCTGACACAGATGTGGCTGTCTCCTAATAGTAATGTTATAAAGGTTGTGGGTATAATTATTGTTTTTAAGTGAATCTGTACATTCCCTTCTATCTGTAAAACCATAAAACTATAGTGTGTTTTATTATATATTATTTTTGTAGCATATAGTGAAAAGTTAATTTCAGGGTTTTTTTTTCCTATTAGGCTACTGCTGATTCAGCCATTCTAGCAGTTCTTCAGTCCAACATTCAACATGTGCTGGTCTATGAAAATCCTGCTCTTCAGGAGAAAGCGTTGGCTTGTATTCCAGTCCAAGAACTAAAAAGGAAATCACAGGAAAAGTTATCAAGAGCTAGAAAATTGGATAAAGGTAGTAGCTTTACATAATCACTTACTGCTAAATGTAAATCATTGCTAAATAAACAGAAATACTGAAATACAGCTGATCCTTGAACAACACGGGTTTTAACTGCATGGGTCCACTTATATGTGGATTCTTTAAACCAAATGTGGATTCACAGGATGCAAAACCTCCATATACAGAGAGTCAGCTTTTTATATACGTGGGTTCTGCAGTACTGACTGTAGGACATGAGTATGTGTGGATTCTGGTATAGGTGGGGGTCCTGGAACCGATCCCTGGCATATACTAAGGGACAGTTGTAGTACCTTTTGCTCTTTTACATTGTTTACAATGTTATGCATTATAAATATTTAACCTATTTCAATTTGAATTTTTAAGAAGTGCAATAATAGTATAATTTTATTGCATATACCTCATGGACACATATTACCTTTTTTCAATTTTTTTTTTTTTTTTGTTTAGTGCCATGACTTGGAAACCTTTTTTCAGTTTTTAAATTGGGGTAAAATACATATAACAAATTTTATCATCTTACCCATTTTTAAGTTTATAATTCAGTGTTATTAAATATAGTCATAATGTTCAGCCATTACCAACATCTATAGCTTTTTTTAGATAGTAAACCGAAAACACTATACTTACTAAATAATAACCCTTCCCCAGCTTCCAGCAACCACTATTCTACTTTTTCGCTGTGATTTCGACTATTCTATCTCATGTAAGTGGAATCATACAGTATTTGTCTTTTGTGATGTCTTTCATCACTGGATGTCTTTTATCCAGTGATAATGATTTGGCTCTGTGTCCCCACCCAAATCTCACCTTGAATTGTAATCCTCATAATCTCCATGTGTCAAGGGTGGGACCCACGTGTCAAGGGTGGAACCAGTTGGAGGTAATTGAATCATGGAGGTGGTTCCTCCCCACTGCCCTTGTAATAGTGAGTGAGTCTCATGAGATCTGATGGTTTTATAAGCATCTGGCATTCCTCCTGCTTGCATTCATTTTCTCTCCGCTGTCCTCTGAATAGATGCCTTCTGCCATGATTGTAAGTTTCGTGAGGCCTCCCCAGTCATGCATAGCTGTGAGTCAGTTAAACCTCTATATAAATTACCCAGTTTCAGGTATTTCTTCATAGCAGTATAAGAATAAACTAATACATCCAGGTTGTAACATACTGCAGAATTTCCTTCTTTTTTTTGGCAGTTTTTACAGCTTTATTTAAACACAAAACGTGCACATGAGCTGCCTACTCTTATTTTTTGCTTTGCAGCCTTGCATTGCAGTTGGTGATTCTGATGGCCAACTGGGCAGCTCTTTCCATGATAGCTTTGCAGTTCTTAGAGGAAACATTGTGAGCAATCTCAGCACAGTAGGATTTGTTGCATATCAGTAGCACTTCCAGCTCCTTGATGTTGTGGACCAGGACTTCTGGAAGCTACTGGGCAACATGTGTGTTGTTTTTTATTGCTCCCATAACCAATGTTGGGCATCAAGATCTGGTCTTTGAACCTTCTATGAACCCTGTTGTCAATACTTCTGGGTTTCTGCTAGTTATGCTTAATTTTGCCATATCGATCAGACTGGTATCAGATGAACTTCTTGGTTCCGTTTTCTACAATCTTGGGCTTACAAGGGGTCTGAAGGTGACCATGATGCCAAGGAGGAGATGGCTGCCACCTGCCTAGGCAGCCTCGAGGAAGAGAGAGCTGCCTTCCTTTTAAGGCAGAATAATATGCTACTGTATGTGTATGCCACATTTTGCATCTCCTTTCATTAATTCTCGGATATTTGGGTTGTTTCAGTGTTTTAGCTATTGTGAATACGTTGCTATGTACATAGGTGTGCACATACTTTACTGTGAAATCTTGGTTTCAGTTATTTTTGGTATACACCCAGAAGTGAAATTGCTGGATCTTAAGGCAATTCTATTTTTAATTTTTTGAAGAACAACCATAGTTTTCCATGGGGACTGTACCATCTTACATTCCCACTAACAGTGCACAAGTATTCTAATTTCCCCACGTTCTTACCAACACTTACTATTTTCTCATTTTTCAATAGTAGCCATCCTAATGGAAATGAAATGGTATGTCACTGTAGTTTTGATTTGCATTCCTAATTCATGATACTGAGCATTTTTTTATGTGTTTATCGATGATTTGATTATCTTCTTTAGAGAAATGTTTATTCTTTTGAACATTCTTTTTAAAAACTTTTTTTAAAAACTGAATATGTATTTGCAGTTTAATCATTGGTATGTGAATACTTTTAGGTAAAGTAGAACTTTAGCCCACAGAATATATGATAGCATCATTATTGAATTGGAATTCGTGAATTTTAATGTGATTCTAACAGAGACCATATTCAGAATTAATCCACATAGTTAGACCATTGACTTTTCGTTCTTGAGAAAGAGTCTTACTCTGTCAACAGGCTAGAGTGCAGTGGCGTGATCTTGGCTCACTGCAACCTCTGCCTAAGCGATTCTGTTGCCTCAGTTTCCCCAGAAGCTGGGACTACAGTCACATGCCACCACGCCTGGCTAATTTTTGAATTTTTAATAGAGATGGGTTGTACCATGTTGGTCAGGATGGTCTTGATGTCTTGACCTCGTGATTCGCCCGCCTCAGCCTCCCAAAGTGCTGGGATTACAGGCTTGAGCCACCGTGCCCCGCCCGACTCACTTTTATGAGTAGAAAGGTAGAAAGACATTATTTATTGATTAAGAGTAGGTTTTGGAGCCAAATGTATACAAATCTTTGTATAAATTCAGCTCTTCTACTTCCTGTGCATCACTGAGCAAGCAAGTTAATCTCTATGACTCAGTTTCTTCATGCAGAAATAAGAATGATAATTTTTAGAAATAAATAATACAGCCGGGCGCGGTGGCTCAAGCCTGTAATCCCAGCACTTTGGGAGGCCGAGGCGGGTGGATCACGAGGTCGAGAGTTCGAGACCATCCTGGTCGACATGGTGAAACCCCGTCTCTACTAAAAATACAAAAAAAAATCAGCTGGGCATGGTGGCATGTGCCTGTAATCCCAGCTACTCAGGAGGCTGAGGCAAGAGAATTGCCTGAACCCAGGAGGCGGAGGTTGCGGTGAGCCGAGATCACGCCATTGCACTCCAGCCTGGGTAACAAGAGCGAAACTCCGTCTCAAAAAAAAAAAAAAGAAAGAAATAATACGTTTAAACAAATCAGAATAATACCTGCCTAGTTCTTCACTGAGTAATTATTTATTATTGTTATTATTAATGGTCTTAAGATTTCGGTTGTCAATTTTTTCCAACTGTAGTATTTACTTTGAATTTTTATGTAATTGGTTTTTGTCCCAGAAGTCATTTTTTAATGCTGTATTTCATGGGGCATTGTTTAAATATTTTTCATAGTTCTCCTAGTTTATAATAAGCATTTTAAATTAATCTAAGTCCACCTTTAAAAACACTATAGGGCTTCATGTATGGTTGCAGATAACCTTTTAACAGAATTGTTCTAATTCTTTCCTCCTGTCCCTAGGACATTGTTGTCATTCATTCACCTATCCATATATGGTAATCACCCAACACATTGCTATTGTTTTTATTTAAAGTTATTTTTTAGATTAAGAAAGAATAAGAAAAATACAATATTTCATGTTACTTTTATTTATTCTTTTCTGATGCTCTTTCTTTCTTTATGTAGATCTGGGTTTCTGTCCTATATCATTTTCCCTTTCCCTGAAGAACTTCTTGTAATACATTCCTTTTATGGCATGTCTGCCGGAGGTGAATTCCCTCAGTTGTTGTTTGCCTGAGAAAGTACTTCTTCACTTTTAAAAGACAATATTACTGGGATATGGAATTCTAGGTAGGTGGGTTTTTTCGTCAAAACTTTAAGTATCTCACTCTATCTTCCTATTTGCATTGTTTCTGATGAAAAGTCTGCTGTAGTTTCTTTTTTTTTTTTTTTTGAGACAGAGTCTTGTTCTTTTGCCAGGTACCAGACCCCAGGCTGGAGTGCAGTGGCCCTATCTTGGCTCACTGCAACGTCTGCCTCCCGGCTTCCAGCAATTCTCCTGAGTCAGCCTTCCGAGTAGCTGGGACTACAGGCGCCCACCATCACGCCCAGCTTATTTTTGTATTTTAGTAGAGACGGGATTTCACTATGTTGGCCAGGATGGCCTCGATATCTTGACCTCGTGATCCACCTGCCTCGGCCTCCCAAAGTGCTAGGATTACAGGCGTGAGCCACCGCGCCCGGCCCATCTACTGTACTTTCTATACTTATTCCTTATTCAATATTTTTCTTTTTGTCTTTGGTTTTCTGTAGTTTGAATACAGTATTACCTAGTTAAAGAATTTTTGGTATTCATCGTGCTTAGTGTTCTTTGAGCTTTCTGGATCTGTGGTTTGATGTTGCATTCATTTTAGAAAATTCTCAGATGTTATTACTTAAATATTTTATCTACTTCCTTCTCTCTTTTCTTTCTGATGTCCCAACGTATATTTTACTTTACTTTTGTGTAGCTCTGCGACTCAGTTTGCTACAGTTCTTAAGTGTTCCATTCCATTTTGAAATTTCCCCACAGTTCTAGAATGTTCCGTTCTTTTGTTCTGGCCTTTTCTCTTTGAATTTCAGTTTGGAAAGTTTCTATTAACCTATCTTCAAGCTCACCAACTTTTTTCCTTTAGCTATGTCAAGTCTGCTGATGAGACCATCAAAGGTCTTGCAGACCTCATTACTGTTACCATGTTTTTGATTTCTAGCATTTCCTTTAGATTTTTGTGTTAAAAAATTTCCATCTTTCTGCTTATACTATACATCTGTTCTTACGTGTTGTCTGTTTTTTCCATTAAAGCCCCTAATTTAGTAATCATATTTAAAGTTCCCTGTTAATTCCAAAATCTTCGCTATATCTCAGTGACTGACCTTGCTGAATGACTCTGATCTGATGCATGCTTCGTCTCTTCAGACTGATTTTTTTTTCACTTCTCAATATACCTTGAAATTTTTTGTTAAAAGC